CGCCTCAAAGTTTGGGTTCATTTGGGCTTTGGGTTTTAATTTCATCAATTCATTTGGCTCTGGTTTCAATTTCATCAATTTAAAAAAATTGACATCAGGTCGTTTTGGATTTGAGAAACAGCAACCATGAACGACTTGTTCTCAGGGTCGTTTTCGCGGTTCCGGAGCCAGCAGAACTCGAACGACGATCACGTGATTGAGATGTCGTCGGCGGCGTCAACCTCGACAAGTTCTTCGGAGACGTCGAATCCGTTAAGGACTAGATCAAGGAGGTCGAGCGCCTCCATCAGAACCTCCAGTCCTCCTACGAGCACAGCAAGACGCTCCACAACGCCAAGGCCATCCAGGACTTCCGATCACGCAGGGACGCCGACGTTACACTCACCCTCAACAAGGCCAGTCAGTTATACATTTATTTTGAATTTTGAATTATTTATTTATATTTTAAAGGGATTGGTCAGTCAGTTCGTTGGGTCCCATGAAAGCTACGTCAGCAGTTAACGGGGGACAATATGATCAACTTAACGAAATGCTTAAATTGGTCAGGTTTGAGACTATTGAAGTGTAAATAGATGAACCCTGGACCCATATTGAGAATGAACTAAATATCTACGGGTGTTTTGGCTTTAGCCCCAAATATAACTTGAAATATATTGATATTGTCTCATCAAATACTGCATGTTTTTTTTACTTCATGACCATAGTTCATCCCAAGTTATTCTTGAATAAGATCGGAGAATGATTAGAACAAAATCCAAGCAATCATTCATAACCACAGATAAACGAAATCCTCCCCTACTTGTGCATAATAAACAATCTTCTCTGAATTGCTAGCTATAAGCTTGACAGAAATGTTTTCTTCCATCCTCATTCATTGTGTCTCCAAACAAATGGGATTCAGTCTTACAACTTACAACTGGTCGATGAAATTAAAGAAGATACCACATGCAAACAAAGTCCTATTTTAATACAAGCTTTTAGAAGAGAAGATGAAAAGAACCAAAGATAGATCCCCATATGGATCTTATATTAACCAAGCTCTCATTATTCTTGCTGCGGCTGCCAATGCAGGTATTGATTAGAAAAGAGGCACAAACAAAAGATGCAAAGCCTGCAATAAGCAAGAAAATCACTAGTCATCAGAAATCTCCTCTTGGTAGATATCCACTAGTAAATCAGATGACTTGAAGCTATTAGAGACACATATACTCTATGTGCAGTCAAGTTGATGTGGCATTCACAAAAACACAAACAATATCTGTAGATTGATTCAAATCATCGACCGTAATGAGCATAGTCACTTGGCAAATTAGAGGTGTAGGTTGTGAAGATGACGATGTCCTCGTTCGTTGATCCACTATAATTCATGGCCGGTTAATTTTGTGATTTACAAAGTTTTAAAGACAACTTAAACCTCAGCAAAAAAACAGAAAAACAAAAACAAAAACAAAACAGGAGGGCATGGAAAGTGCAAAAAAGTTACACCAATGGGCATCAGATTGGCCTATGGTTCCAGTTTGTAGCAACAAAAGCATCACCTCATCATATTAGGCAATCGAGCTGTCCGGGATACAGTTCTTTATTTCATGCTACTGAGGAATACACTGGTGAGGGCAGAGTCACAAAGAAAAGAGGTCACCAAAAGACGAAGGGCCTGCAGCAAGTAACAATCCAAGAGACAACAGTTAAACTACAAAGAATATGCACGTGATGAAGCTTCAAAACTAGAAGAAACACAGACAATGCATGAGCAGTCAAATTAAAGCAGTGGCAGAGAAAATTAGGTGCGTACAATGCAAGTGTAAGGGACTGAAAATCATCAACTATAATAAGTTGCTACAAAGTTAAATTACAAAAAATAACTAACCTCCTCCTTCCCAACCTGCACAGTTTGCATCTCAATGTCTGCGAAT